CATTGCCATGCCTACTCAAGAGGAGCTAAGAAAGAAAAAGTATTCTCAAACATTATTTTGTTTTATCTATCTCTTTTTTATAAACTAAGGGGTTGTTTGTTTACCTCTTAATTGTTTCATTAAGAGGCAACATCTGAATCATTAAGAGATGAATCTTGTTTGACAAATGCCTCTTAATGGTTCTAAAATCATCTGAATGATTTTGTATCTTGTGTTTCCCTTAACCATTCAGCGCCCTAATTTTATTGTAAACAATTACCAAACAATTATATTTCATTTTGCACAATATCATGAGAGCTTCTTAATCATTCTGCACCAAACCATTCAACAACTACCAAACAGCCCCTAAGGGGGTGTCTGGGATTGCTTATTTAAAACAACTTATACTTTTTTTTTTGTAAAAGTACTTATCAATTTATCCGGTGTCAAACCTTAGTTTTATAGAAAGTCTTTGTATTAGCTTACGATGGTACCAAAACGTAATAAGCTGATAAGTTGTTTTTTATTGTTTGACGAATTTTGCTTATACATGTAAAATGACCAAAAGGACCTTGTGAAATCGAACTGAAGAAGACCTTATGAACCCATTTCTCCATTTCTCCCTTCTCCCACTTCTACGAAATTGAACCAAACAAAGACAATCTCCATTTCTCCCATTTCTGTGAAATCGAACCAAACAGGGAGCATTTCCATGGAAGTCGAAAACCATTGAAGTCGACAGCCATGAAAATCATAGAGAAAAATGTTGATGAATATCTGATTTTCAATAGTGAAGGTCGATTTCACACCTGATTTCCATTGTCCTTGTGCCTCGATTAGAAACCGGGAGGGTCAAATTTCAATAGTGAAGATCGATGTTGATGAAGGGGTGTTTGGGATCAGAAACACCTTTGGTGAAGGTCGATTTTCGATTTTGCAGGTGAAGGTCGATGTCCATGTTGATTGTCGATTTTACAGGTGAAGGTCGCTCCAATCTGATGTGTAATTTAGGTTTAGGGTTAAAAAGGTAAATTAACTTCCGAAGCTAATAAGTTGAATCTAATAAGTTAGAAGTATCTAGCTTATCAAAAACTCCTTATTACCGATTTGACACTGGTATAAACAGTTCTTTTTCCTGCTCGTCCAAACATTAAAAATGTTTATTACTGGTATCACGCCAAAATAAGTCAATAAACAATTTAAATAAGCAATCCCAAACATCCCTAAACAAACATATTTCAATTTGCTTGACAAATTATATTTAATTACTATCAAGTATCAACCTAAGATTTGATCAAATATGATAATATTACAAATTTCATTATCGATGTCACCACTCACCAAAATTGTTTTCGGGCTTACTCCTTACAGTTACTCTAACCCAGCCCACGTTCAACTGAGAACGAAGCTGCGGAAGGGAAAACACACTGAACGACAGTGAGTGACCGTAACCCTAGCGACACTCACCTCCTCTGCTACTTCTGATCATCTCCGTCGTAAAGCCGCTGCAGTAGGTCCACTTGCAATGGCATCTATGATGGTAATATCTCTCTCGCTCTTCCCTCTCCTTCCATTTTCCGTTTGGATTCGAACAAGGGCTTACAATATTAGTACAAGTAAATTGATTTCAAATTTTGAAACTTAAACAGCAACCTCAAATCATATTGCTTAAAGAAGGTACGGACACGTCGCAAGGGAAACCGCAGTTGGTGAGCAACATCAATGCGTGCATGGCGGTTGCTGATGTCGTTCGTACCACCCTAGGTCCGAGGGGTATGGATAAGTTGATACATGATGACAAGGGTAACACGACTATTTCTAACGATGGTGCCACCATAATGAAACTTCTTGACATTGTTCATCCTGCTTCTAAGATCCTTGTTGATATCGCCAAGTCACAGGATTCCGAGGTACAGCTACCTTTCAGTCAATTTCATTATCACTATAAAATGCTTCTTGGTGCTCATTAAAAACGTTCATCACAGAGTCACGGATCAAATAAATACCGAGACCACCTTGAGGAAAAAATGAAGAGTTTATAAATAGCTTTGTACTTGTGGAATAATTATAAAACTGAGTTAGAGTTCGTGAATATAAGACGAGATTTCAACTCAGATACGGCCATAATATTTAAAGGATAAAGCGAAATATTTGCTATAGCGTTAGCTTCATCAAATCTGCTGATGAAATTTGTTTTAGTTATGAGTGTTTGATGATTGATTTATCTGAGATGTTATGTCTGTTTGAACTGGAAAAATTATTTTGGATAAATATAAAATATATTGAACTACAAAACTCATTTTGACAGCTCAACTTGTCAATTTCATAACGACTTATACTTTTACGATACATGATATAAAAGTAATTGTTGTAAAATTATTTCAGAAAATAAATTAGCATTGTTTGAAGAAATTATATTATTCAAATGAATATAAAAGATATACGATTTCCCAATGCTTAACTGCTTAAGTTCGAATAGTTGTTCCAAACTCCAATATGAGCTCAGATAGGAAATATTGTTGGCACTCTTTTGTATTTTCAGAAATCAATTACTGTGGTACATGGGTTTCTTCTTTTACAAATATTGTTGTTCACTAGTAGGTTAACGCAACCAACTTAACTACATGGGAACTACATAAAAGAAATTTGTGGGCTCACTTGACCCCATGACCTTCAATGTAGTTCCGCAAATGCCTTTAGTGAAGTTCTTTATATTGTTATACACTTCTACTATTAGCTTTCTGGTAGTAATTGTTAGTCTAGTTTATATTTACGAGTTAGCAATTTAGCATAGGGGAGATATTGTAATTGCATATTGAGGTTGGCGGTAGTAAGAATAATAAGATCCCAGTCACCTTCAACTAATTTCTTTTATAGTTAGTTGTCATGATGGCAAGGCAAACATAAGTGTGGTGGAGTAGGCTGTAATTGTGTACAAAATATCTGGGAGCAAATGAGCAGAACTTAGTGGGGCAGAAATTGGCTTGTGTTGACTATCTAAGCTAACACCATTGAATATTGAATTATTGATTGCTCAAAATATACAAGGCCCAACTCGGAAGTTTTGATTCTATTGGGATCTGTAGTTCCAACTCAAACTCTAGTTAGAGAAATTTCAACTTATCATGTTCTTTTTCTAGTTGGAATTAAAGAAAATTAAGTTTTTAACAGGTGACTTGTTCATCACAATTAATCTTATCATGTAAATATCAGATTACTTTTTTGAACATAAAATGCCTATAGACAATCTTCAGACCTTGAGTATGTCTAAGCTCTATATGGGATGACCACAGGCAAACATGCCTGATGGTTAGGACCAAGTAAAAAGTAGATTAGATTCGTGTGGAATCAAGCTCAAATATCGTGTATTGCCATATTTACTTAAAACCTGAGTGATGTGAGCAAATTTTAAGCCGATCCAGATCTATGTCCAAGTACTTTGACCACTCTAAGGGTATGACATGCCCAGAAAGTTTCTTGTATACACCTGTTCCAAAAAAGTTTCTTGTATACCCCTGTTTTTCAATTGATGTCGTGTATGAACTCATTGAGAAAAAAAAATGCACGAATATTTATACCAAGCATGCCAACTACATGGAATGTAGTGTTAAAATTTCCATGAAATCCAAAATCCTTTATTCACTTGGAAGGACTAGGTTTTCCATATGCAGTCTTTTTTTCTTTCTGAAACGGAGGGAGTAAAGATGAGATATTGCTCTGATATTGCTTTTAGCATTCTAGAGGGTCCCTGTTGTCTGATATTCATACAGGTTCATGATGCTAAAGCGTATACTAAGCATGTACTTATGGGCATTATTGACTTGACACCTTGATAACACAATAATCATGTATTGCCATTTGAAGATAAACATATCTCCTGATTTGGTTTATATGGAGACCTTGAATTTGAAGTCTTTGGTATGCAATTATATTAATTATCTTTGTTGAAGAACCTAATGCTTTTTGTACTTCCTACATGAATTAAAAGCAACATGTAACTCGTTATTTGCTCAAAGTTTGCTTCCCATAACAATAAGTTGACCTTGGACATTTCATGTTACAATGCTGAGATATATTTTTACTTATATGCTGATAATGGTGCAGGTTGGTGATGGAACAACTACTGTGGTTCTTCTTGCTGGCGAGTTCTTGAGAGAAGCCAAGCCATTTGTTGATGATGGTGTTCATCCTCAAAATCTTATACGAAGTTATAGGGCTGCTTCCTATTTGGTATGCTCCCTAAATCGTTTTTGGTGTCATCTCGTCTCCTACCTGAGTAAATACCGAATTAGTTTTTAATCTTCGTGGAGGTTTTAGACTATAAGTCTATAACCTTTATTTACTTGTAGTTGTAGGCTTACACTTTATGCAACAGGCGATTGAGAAGATCAAAGAATTAGCTGTTAGCATAGAGGGAAAGAGTTTGGAAGAAAAGAAAAGCTTATTGGCAAACTGTGCTGCTACGACGCTCTCTTCAAAACTCATAGGAGGAGAGAAGGAGTTTTTTGCAACAATGGTAGTTGATGCTGTACTTGCGATTGAAAGTGATGACAGATTAAATATGATCGGAATAAAAAAGGTATGCGTGCTTAATGTTGAACATGAAAATTTTGTACCGTTTAGCTTTGAGAATGACTGTCAGTTCTGATCTCTTCTGATATCCACAGTTTAGTATGGCAACTTACCAAACTAATGTGTCTCTCACTATGTGTTGTAATAGTAGTTATGTGGTACTGTTGTCTATAGTGAGGTTGCACAAACTATATCTCGGTTGTAAAGTTAGTCCAAAACTGGACAGTGGAATTTCTGTGCCCTCCTAGTTGTTGTTCTTCATTGTCATCTGTGCTGATATAGCAGTGAAAATCCAAAATTGCGGTCGGGACCAATATTTGAAATAGCGGTTATAGCGGTCCAAAAATAGCAATTTATATAATATTTCTTAGAATTATCTATAAAACAGAGGGAGTAGGTTGGAGCGGAGGGAGTTTAATTGACCAATCTGCTTCCATTTTCTTATCAACCAAGATTAAATATTCAAACTCCAAACTCGTGGTACCTGGAGCAGAAGCTGGAAATAGAAGTTGGAAACAAAAGCTAGAAGTTGGAAACAAAAGCTAGAAGTTGGAAACGGAAGGTAGAAGCTGGACGTCTGGAACAGAAGCTGGAAAGAGAAGTTGAGAGTCGTGGGTTGTGGTCGTCTAAAGCAGATGAGATCGGTGAACAGAGCCCAAAAGAAGAGATAGTCTAAAGACTAAAACAGGTTGTCGATAGAGAAACCTAGTTCTTCTAATTTATGTTAATGGATTAAACTTAAGAAAAATAAAGCCCAAAAAAAGAAAGATCGGAAATAAAGCCAACTATCTAAAACAGAGACTGAAAATAAATCCCAACCATCTAAAAAAAGAGACTGAAAATAAAGCCCAAACCCCCCAAAAAAGTAACATTAATATCGAACGCAATTGACCCTAAATATCAGTCAAAATTGTGGTAAATTGCGTCGATAATTGCGCTACTGCAATTTAAACCGCAATCTGACCACTGTTATTTTGCTAATGTCCGCTATCCGAGATATCCCCGCAATTAACAACATAGATTGTCATAAATATCCTTCCCTTCCCTTTGCATTGCTTTTCGGTTTTCAAAAAGGGTGCTGCCTCTCTGTATTTTCGGACTCCTACTACTGACTTAAGAATCTATTATTATGATCTTATTCTTTTTATTAAGGAGAATTAATCACAAACGAGTAATTTCAAGCTTAAGTTCTTATATTTGCTGATTTTATTTGTTCTCTGTGTTACATATATGCGTGATTAAAATTGAATCTTGAATGCCTATTTCTTTATTTGGGTTGTCATCCCTAAAGCTCATCGTAGAAAGTAAACATATATAAGGTTGACGGTTGGACTTGGATAGCTAGAGCTAGGAGGAAGGGTCGTGAGATAGGCTTCTAGTCACCAAGTTTGTGAAGAAATCGAAATGCTTGCTGCATTTGATAGTACCTAGATGATGAAACTGGAAAATTGAAGTCTGAAGATTGGACCTTATTATTCTTTCTGAGCTTTTCATTCACTGAAATATTGACCTTCACTGTATATTTGTTGTTTCACCTTAATCAAACTGGAAAATTATAGCATTTGACAGGAAACTCTGCAATGCAGCATGGTGTGTTTATATTTTGAAGATGTAGTGTTGATATTACTTCTAACAGATTGCTTTCATTGCAAACAACTCTGTTATTAATGTTGTGTGAACTAGATGCTTGTCATTTCCACTTTTCATGTAATGTATTAAACAGGGATTGTCAGGCTTTGGTTTCAATAATACATCTTAGACTAATAAACAGTTACATAATACGTGCAAAATCGAGCATTGATATAAGTTGTTTAAGTTTCTTGTAATCTTGTTAGTTTTGGTGAGAAAAAGGAAGATAAAGAAAATCATTTGTAAAGTGGTAATGACTTCTATGTTACCTCACACCGACAAGCCTTTTATTTGAAACTAGTTGTGGTAGGCTAAAAAGGAAACTAAGGTGCATCCCTGGGGTTATTTGAAATGAATTACTTCATATCTATGCACTCCTATTTAAGGCCGATTTTTGGGTCTATGCCTCTAACCAAAATCTTCTTTTCTTACTTCCCCATACCAATCTTTGTCAACATCTATTACCTAGCGACCTATTCTTGGTGAAGTATCTTTTAGTTGGTGTATTTAACAGTCTACTTCAAATAGAATGAAACAATATTAATCAGTGCAGCCTGCGTTTCTCCCTCGACAAATGTCACCCATCCTTGTCATTTCTTATCTCGTTTTGATGAATGGCTCACATCCACATCCACCTCAACATTCACATTTTTGTTACACTTATCTTGTTTACATATTGCCTTTTGGTATATTATTATGAAAACTAGACATCGATTCATGTTAATCGTTCTTGCGTTGAAAGGTAGCCTTAGATCATTGAGGATGGATTTGTAAGCAAAATAGAGGAGGCGTATGATTGAATAAAAATAGATTATTCTAATCTTATGAAGAGCCTGTTTCCTCCTGTAAGCAGGAGGGGTTTTGTTTATGAACAGACTGAAACATGATGATAAACCTCCTTTGAGGTTTACTTATAGAAGAAGAAATCAGATTAGTAGTGTAGTTGCTGTTTCTTAGTAGTCGATTAAGGGAGGGTAGTTTGGTAATTGGGTTGTGCTTAAATAGGGAGCTGTCAGTTGAGGCCGATTATTCTGTTTTGGTTGTTTT